TCCTGGTTAGAAATAATATTGGATGCAATTGTCCATCAGGTCCACTTTGTCTGAATACCACTCCTAAACCTACGTTGGAAGCATCACAAAAGGCTTTATGAAACCAGGAGCCATAACTACAAGTTCAAAGGCTATCAGATCTTTTAACTGTTGGAAGGCTGTCATTCAGCCATCCAGGTCACATTATCTGGCCAGGGTCTTCTTTCTCAATTTTCCTTCAGTGTACATAGTTTCTAAGGGTGTGAAAGCTGTCACCTGAGAAATAAACTGTAAGCTTGTTCAATGCTTTTCCCAGTCTGATTGAGGTTCAATAGACCTTTTATTCCTCTTTCCTGTTTTGGTTATTATCTAGGAATACCTTGTCCCACCCTATAACTACAGAAGAGATCTGAGGTAAAATGAAAAAAACTAGTTTATTCATTTCCCTGGGAAAGGGTTAAAGGATCTTTGAGACTTGAAAATATTTGCTATTGTAACTGACAGCTTCAGCTGGGCACAAGAACACTAAAGGTTGTTATCATTCACTGATAATGCAGTGTACATTGAGGAGAATGAGAGCAAGTTACAGCTGATCTGTTTTCTGAGAGAGAAATAAAGAACTGGACGCAGGGCTGCTGAATTCCAGGCTGGAGCTACCAAAGAGTTTGAAATGAAAGCAAAGCCTGTCCATCAGCCTTGGAAGACTAAAGAATGTTTATGAAACACAAAGTGTGAAAGACCTGGACACCACATTTGACCAACTTACTTCCCATGGAGACTCCTATATAAATCCTGTCTCCTGGGACAAGGATTCTCTAACCTGCCCCATAGGCAGTCAAACCCTTTCTGAAGAAAAATGGCCTTTCAGTGGCTTTTGACTCCAACTCCCCCCTCCCATCTGCTCTGTCAAGGCTCCAAAGGCCCTGATTTCAGTAACATTCCAAGGGGCTTGGTAGTTTTCGGGAAATGGGCAGGACTTTGATGTTTCTGTCACATTCCCATCCTGTAAAGACTCATTAGGAGCTGCGGTGGCTCAGTGGTTAAGATGCTGAACTGCAGGCTGGAAGGTCGGTAGTTCAGCAGTTCAAGACTCAAGTGCCGCATGACGGAGTGAGCTCCTATCTGTGGTTCCAGCTCCTGCCAACCTAGCAGTTCGAAAGCAAGAAATTGCAAGTACATAAATAGGTACCGCTACAATGGGAAGGTAACAGCATTCCGTGCACCTTGTCGTCTAGTCATGCCGGCCACATGACCACGAAAAGGTCTTTGGACAGGGCTGGCTCTTTGGCTTGGAAATGGAGATGAGCACCGCAACCCTAAAGTCGGATTCAACTGGCTTTCAAGCAAGGAAAACCTTTACCTTTTACCTTTAAAGACTCAATGTCTCAGGTGAAGCCAGTTCCAGGACAATGGGTAACACTTTAATTATAAATTAATTATAAGCCCTTTTATGTGTACAATGTCAGAATCAAAATTTTGGATCATGAGATTCCACCTTAGTGTGTTTTCTATTGTTCCTTCTTGTATTGTGCAGGCAGCAGAAAGCTGAATATTTTTCTCCCAGGGCAAATCTCCTGCTCTATATGTATGGCTTTAGTTTGCCAAGGGCCCACACACCAGACACTACTCCATTTTTGGCTGACAAGTGCTGCTCTCATTCCAGCAACTTGTTATTTATTTATATTTGTTTCATTTATTTCTTTTATACTCTGTCTTTTTCCTCAGTGGGGAGTGGGGACCCAAAGTTCTCCTCCAGTTTATGCTCGCAGCAACCCTGCCGGGCACTTTGGGTTGAGAGTGTGACTGGCCCAAGGTCACCTGTGGACCAAAACAAAGGTGCATTTAGAGAGGGAGAGATCTAGATACATTCACATCCTACCTGGTCAGCACAACTGCCCCAATCTTCAAATATGTATGCACCTTTTATCTTGGTGCAGGCAAACTATACTGATTTGCTCATTTCACAGTAAGACTTTCACAGTAAGTCTTAAATATATCAGTATGATTGATTTCCTTATGCTTCCCTTTAGCGTTCAGTTCAATTTCATAATTTACATTAGAAAGCTATAGGATCACAGTGATTACTCTCTTAAAGGTTTCAGAGGTTCATTGTGTGCACATTACCTTGCTTTCAGGCAACTTGGCTTGAGCCGTCAAGTCCTCACCATTGCTGAGCAGTAGTCACACTGCTCTGTCACTTTATTACAGGGAGGTGACTCAGTGGAGGTGTTGGCCCTCGTACTTCCCCCGCTTTCTCTTGTATCTTTCCAAACTGAAGTCTGCTGCCATGTTAGCACATTGATATGTTGGATGATCTGGGCCAAATCATTCCCATGAGAGAGAGGGTTGCTTGCCATCTTCCACTCCAGTTCCTGTACTTGCCAGCTCCTATACTTAATGATCTCACCACTGACACGGAGAAGATTGGTCCACCCAGACACTTCAGGCTGATTTATTTTCTGGAAATTATTTCTTCTGATTATATCAGCTCTGGTTTTATTAGCGTTATCTCTGATCCTGAGTCTCACAAAGCCGGTGACCAGAAAACAACCCGCATGAAAAAGCACACAGAAAAAAAACCCATGGTCATAAATGCTCAAAGGAAAAAAGCCACATGGAAATTAGCCCACACAGAAAAAAAGCCCACATGGAAAAATACCATGTAAAGCGCCATAAATGTTTATAATTGTGGATAGCCATTCATCTTCATTTATGAGAAATTACTTCATACCAACATTACAAAGGTTGACAAATGTTAAGTTAATAAATTTAAAGTATTTAATTCTATTTTAAAATATTTCTATATAGAGTTTAAATTCTGTTATCTTTTTTCCTTCTTAATAAAGTTTGTTAATAACAAAATGGTCACTTTTATTTCCCGTATTTTCTAGGGCTGCCAAGTGGGGCGGGTAACTTCCTGCTTTGGAGGCCCGATTTCTGCCGCCGGCGTGCACGTCACTAGGACGTTATGACACCGGGCACGCTGGGGGTGGGGCCATGACCATCCAAGGGGAAACTCTATGGTTTCCCCTTGGATGGTCGTGGCCCCACCCCCAGCGTGCCCGGCGTCATAACGTCACT